ACAAATTGATTTAGGAAACAAGAACAAATAAATAAATCTCCGCTTTGGTAAACATTTGTTGTTTTGTTTTCATTGTCCTACTCTTGTCCAAGACTTTATCTTGTTTACATAATGATGTGTGGGCGTAATGTCATTTGCACCATTATGAATAGCATCGTAGGTCTAGTCTAGCACCGCCGCTTGTACATGCCGTGTCACACTGCAACTCTAAAGTGCTTAGCAAGTTAGCATCAAAGCCAAATGGCGTAGGATCCAGGTTTGCTTGTGACTTGGACTTGTTTGCATGGCTGGAGACCGAACATTCCACATGGAGAGGGCGAGTCTCATGTAGCAATAGGCTAGTATTAGCAAATTCCAAAGCACACGATCGATCCAGCTCGAGCGATACCATTCAAAGGAGGCACACCGTACACGTTCAGCCGTTCTTTTTTGAAACTCAACACAGTTGACCGTGTCTCGCTTTCATGGAATTACCGCGAAATGAATCCTTGGGCTGGCTGGATCGATCGGGTACGTACGCGTCGTTTGTTTGACCGTCGGTCTACACGTCCAGCGAAGACAGGTGACGTAATAGTACGCAGGCTATGCCCCGGCCCAGCTAGCTTGCTGATGGTCGGGAGTGAAATGTCAAAGCGAATGGAGCATGAATGCCTGCATGGCATGCATTATACTACTACGTACTATAGTAGGGAAATACCCTTTGGCTCCTCGCATGTATGTACATCCTATATGAGGTATTTTTCTTAAATAATTAAATAAAAAATCAAAATAGTTCAAAAATATTTTTAGATTAAACTTGACTTACTTGCGCACTAGTATATAAATTTGAAAAAAAAAATCAACGTTGACTTCATAGCAAAAAACAAAATTTATTTGCTATTATAGGTCACTATTCACGACATTTTGATTGAAAAATTGTCTTTTTTGAAAAGAAGCCAAAGAAGAATTTTCTTTTTGTGGAACTTTTCTTACTAGTACAATGATAGGCCAAGTTTATTTTTAAAATATTTTCAGAATTTTTTGACTTTTTGTTGAATTGCTATTTTTTTCATATAGGATACATATGTACTCAGGAACCAAACGTTCCCCTCCTACTATAGTAGTAGTATCAAGTATGGGACGATGATTTGATCAACAAACCGGCCAGATATACTAGCAAGAAGAAGAAGAAGAAGAAGAAGAAGAAGAAGAAGAAGAAGAAGAAGAAAAGTTGTACTAGGATGCACAATGATGTCGACAGTCAATATTAATGGAATAGTGGGGCAGGCATGGCGTCCATATTTCTTAAGTCGGATACGGTTAACAATCTGACTTGGAGCATCATATACTGACATACAGTCCTCATGTGCGGCTCTCAGAGGATTTGTTTTATCTCCGTGTGCATGATGACTGATGAGATCACTACTAAGCCATGGTCATTGGTCAATGGCAGGGTGAGTAGGAAAACAAAATGCTCCATACTAGATGATGATAGTCTGACTCTTCCACCCCAAACCAGTTGAATAATAAAGGGACACACAAGTTGCACGAGTGGCCTCCCATGCTCGACTCAACTTGAAATGTCAGCGTGGAGAACACCAACACTCATGCATGCACATACAGATAGGGTCCATTATTTTCTTGGGACAGTTAAGGCAGCAATCAACGAACAGTGCGTACAGCGCCTGGACTTTCTTATTCTCTGCACCCAACAACTTGTCCATTCTTCATTCATCCATTCATGGGTTCGGTCAGCCAGTCTATAAAGTCTGAGATCGACGGCGGCACGTAGGAGTACTCCCTCCGTTTTTTTAGTCTGCATATAAGCTTTGATCAAAGTCAAGCTTTGCATAGTTTGACTAACTTTATATTAAAAAATATCAACATTCACAATACGAAATCAACATTTTCAGATGCACCATGAAATGTATTTTCACATTATATAGTTTAAGTAGTGTAGATGTTCATATTTTTTAATATAAATTTGGTCAAACTTTGTGTAGTTTGACTTTGACCAAAATTTATACGCGGAGTAAAAAGAAACGGAGGGAGTACATAACTAGCCCACCCTCCATGCTGTACCAAATTAAGGTGAGTACAAAAGCTACTGTATAGTTGCTGCACCATATTTGCAAAGGCAGAGCAGTTGGCACCGATCGATGATGAGAAATTCAGACCAAAAGCAAAGTGAGCACTAATGGTTCTACGGTTTCGTGCACCCCATGGCCGCATCGCATCTCTGTATCTGTATAAGACAGTGGTAGTACTGCATGCGACCTGCATGCAGTGGTTAATAAGCACAAGAAAGTCATGAGCCGCACAGCCGCCCAACAAGAGAATTCTCTGCAGGCAATGACCACAAAATTCTTGCTCATAACTTGCGCGTTCTGCCAACCGCCGATCTGCCGACTAAAAACGCTCTGCATTCATGCATGCACCTGTGTCCAGGGCTTGCACTGTGCATGGATGGATAAGCAGAGGGCCGAGAAGAGAACAGAGGAGCAGGTCGTGTAGAGGGGACGAGACTTGCCTGCTCCCCCGACGTGTGCCCATCCGTGCTCCTGCGTACGTGGCTTGATTTGATTGGAACAAAATAAGGCTTGGCCCCACCCCTTAAAATCAGGGGGAAGATGATTAAATTAAAAAAAAAAGAGAAAAATAAACAACCGTAGAATGAAGTGGGAGCACGGATGAAAGCATGTGAAAGGAGCAGGCAAGCCGGATCCGTGCAAAGAGGGAAAGCGCGGCGGAGTCTTCAAACACAAGCCCCGCGCGGGCAATCAATGCAGGGGTTGGTTCCCGGTTGACATTTATGCGCGGGACGTGGGAGTGGATTCAAGTCAGTGATGAGCGGACGGACGGACGGACGTCCTCGTCTCACCCCGCTTGCGGTTGAAGGATTGGAGCATCGGAACAAAAGACACGCACGTCCATTGCCACTGGATCGTTGGTCTATCTGCTGCTAGGTGTGTGTGTCATCTTGCCGGGTGCAACTGCTCGCAATGAATGCGAGCGCGCTAGCCTTCCTTCAATGGCCGTCCCTGTCGACCGACCGACCTTCTTCTTTTTCTTTCTTCGTCATCAATGGCGCAATTGAGTTGAAAAGAAAGGAAAAGACAGGAGAAGCTGTAGCCTGGAGGAGCTGTGAGTGTATTTGATGGGTGTAATCATGGATGTAGATACGGCTGCACGTAGCTGTTCCCGGGTGAATACGCGTACGCATCATTGGCTATCCTGCAGCTTCGCATCGCTTGCACCCGTCACCGTCGTATTAACTTGGGCTTCTATTTTTGAATCTGTACATATATAACGAAAAGGGGTTTGCCCTCATTTATGTTATAAACTATAAAGCAACCATCACCTACGAGATGCGCAGAAAAGAACCGCTTAGAGCCAATGAAGACCACCACCAAGAGCGATCTCATTTGGGAAGGTGTGTGACGAACCACGCCAGACCAAAGACTCCAAGAAGATGCTCTCCAAAAAGGGTACGACCACAGAATCTCGGCACCATCCGATTCGAAGATCAAATTTTCACTTGGAGCTAGACGGAAGGAGAGGGAGCACCATGACAGAGCCTACAGGAAGGAACCCGACGTCCGCAGACGTTGTCACTGTCAGCCAGTGTATGGACTAGGCAAGTGACGTACCCCGATGCTTCAACGCCCCCCACCCCCCACCCCTGTCGCATCCCCGTTCCGCCAAACCACCCGCAGCCATGCCGCCCGAGCGGCCATGCCTGCTCGCCCGCAACCGAGACACACAGACCGCCCACGATTAACGCGCCTCCGACCGTCAGGACCGCCGACCTGCCACCGGGCCACCATGAGAGACACCAAAGAACACGACTTTGACCCGATCCATGCCCCCAACCGTCTTCGGAACCGCCGGCGGACACCTTGCCACGAGATGGACCGCGACCATATGCCGACTGGGAGAAGGGGAAGGTGAAGGAGCAACACATGACCAAGACCGGCACCCCTGTGCCGGCGACGGGGCACACAACGGCGCTCTTGTCCCCCTACCAGCCTTCCCCCGAAGCCACAGGTCTAGACAAGCCGGAGCGCACCGGCCACCGCCCGATGCCGAAGAGGAGGGAAGCCAGATCCGCTGCCGTTTACCTATGGCGACAACTGGGCTTCGCCTGCTCGCGCCCCCTAGCGGTGACGAGGGAGGGGGAGAGGAGGAGGGGAGGGTGAGCAGCGGTGCTAGGGTTAGTCTCCCGGACGCTCGAGGGAGCATCGCGGGAGGAGGGAGGGGCCTGTTTTTCCAAGGATTCACTTCCAAGCAGTACATATATTCAGATGGTATTTTTATTAGAAAGCGAAAGCGACACAATTTTTTTTAAAACTCTGGGAACTTTATTAAGTCAAAAAACCGTTACATCGTCCACCCTCCAACTTACAATTGATGATGGCGACTCCTCAATCCACATTGAGGGTGAGAAAGCGACGCATTGCACACAGAAAAATGCTATAATCTGTTTGTTGAAACACAAAAAAACTTTTCAGTTTTATATAACCTAACGTATTGTCATCACTACCTTTTCTTTTTGAGAAATCACTGCCATCGCTACTTTTCTTTTTGAGAAATCATTGTCATCACTACTGAAAGAGAGTGTCTATCCCCTCAAAAAAGATTTTTTTTTTTGAGAATCCCCTAAAAAAAGAAGAGAGAGAATGTCTATCCCCGACTGGCCCATTTGTCCAGGCAGTAGGGAGGGACACCGTGACCCAACACGGCCCAAGTTCCTCCGGCCCAACTCAAGTCTCTGGCTACCTTTCCTCCCGCACCGGAGGCGCAGCCGCTGACGACCCCCTACCCCTACACCTCCTCACTCCGCCGCCGCTGACCCTACGCCGACACCCACCCCCGCCGCTCTGTTGCCGAGCGTGCTCGATCCGAGCTCCAGTTCCGGTGCAGCTTGGCCGAGTTTCCCAGCCACTAGCTCAAACCCAACCCAGGCCTGCTCGATTTCGCTTCCTTGACATCGCCCGCGCACCCACCGCGAGCAGTCGCTGATGACCACCGCGCCGGTCGTCTCCCCCTCGCTCTCCCGACTACACTCCGCGCTGGCCTCTCCGTTCCCCAAAGCCCCCGTTGGGTCCGGGGCTGGGGTCGCCTTCCCCGCCCGGCCGTACGGGCCATCGCTTCGCCTGAGGTCGGCCGTCATGGCTGCCAGCGGCGTCGGCGGGAACGGCTCTCCGATGGCGCCTGAGGAATCCGCAGGTGGTTTGATTTCTACTCTGCTTGCTATGCTGCTTCGTGCATGATTTGTACCTGTGTTATCATTGCCGAAGTCATCGTTGTTCAGCTTCTCTGCTAGCTACTCCCTCCGTTCCGAATTACTTGTCTTAGATTTGTCTAGATACGGATGTATCTGGCACTAAAATGAGTCTAGATACATATGTATCTAGACAAATCCAAGACAAGTAATTCGGAACGGAGGGAGTATCTCTTATTCTGTTCATTGTTTTCAGTGTCGTCTAGGTTGGGGGAGGTCAAGAGGGTAACCAAGGAGACAAATGTGCATGTCAAGATCAACCTGGAAGGCACTGGTGTTGCAAACTCCAGCACAGGGATACCCTTCTTGGATCACATGCTTGATGTGAGTCTGGTTTACTCCTCATGTCAGTAGTTGTGGGTTGAGGATTTTATTTAGATAATTGTATATCCTCCATTTTTCAGCAAAAAAAGCGGGTAGCTATTTTTATTTTCACCTAGGTTTTTTTGGAAGCAAGAAGTGATATCTATCGCATCTGCTCTGCGTGAAGAAGACCAAACAAGGGCAAAACGGAACAATACCTTAACTCGAACCCCCAAAATAGATTAACGGAACAAAAATGGCAAGTAGCGTTCTGAATTTGTGTTGGTCAAAGCCTACATAGACGGCATGCTAACTTCAGATGTTTAAGAGCATGATTAGTACAATCCTGTTATTATTAGGAGAAAGTGATGTATACATGACTTAGCCTGAAGGGGTCCTTGCTGTAGAGAAGTCTGTTTCCTTGCGAGTTCCACGTGTTCCAGGTGACTGAGCAATTAGGACGGGGATTCCTATTTGAGTTCTCTTTCCCTAGGGTGATGTGATCCATGCGAAGATTGTTACTCCCTTCTTATTAACTAATGTTTGTATGTGTGAAATGTAAGGCTTTTGTTATTCCACATCAGTGACAAACTGACAGCAATGACCACTGTGGATGACAGGCCCTTACATCTGAAATCAATACGTGAAACGCGACTGCAGTAAAGTGCTAGCGTAGCAAAAACCAACACAAGTAGAGAAAAAATTATTGAGAAGTATTTCTGTTTTCAGATTGATGCACTCTGAATGGTCCAGAATTATGTTCTGTATATATCTTGTGCTTGACAGTAGAAGGTTCTAACTCATGCCGTGTGAGTGTTTTTTCTTCTGGTCAAAGCTAGGCATTAACTTTCAGTTTGCAACTTACAGCAACTGGCATCTCATGGACTGTTTGATGTATACGTGAAGGCGACGGGTGACACACACATTGATGATCATCACTCAAATGAGGATATTGCTTTAGCAATTGGAACGGTGATTTTTCTTTTTTCTTTTGTACTATTATTTTTTAACTTGACGTTAGTACTTCTAGAAACAGTTATACGGTTGTTTACCAGAAGTTGGGACATCCAGTTTGACCTCACTGCTAAATTTGCACACTATATTTCTGTTTTTTTACCTGATTCTGAACTATCCTAAGTTTAATGTTCTGCTATATTACAGGCAGAATTTTACCGTGGTGACTCATTTTGGAATTTTCTTTTAGGCATTACTTCAAGCACTTGGTGACCGAAAAGGAATTAACCGGTTCGGGCATTTTACAGCACCACTTGATGAGGCAGCAGTTGAGGTTATACTGGTATGCAGGACCATCTTCTGCATTTAGATACTATGCCTGCAACCTCCATTCAGGAGGGTGCATGTCTATGTTGGGCATTTATGAGCTTATGAAGCTCTCACCCTTTGCTAACACATAACTGAATTACAACTTCCATCTGTCTGGTTCTTAACTTGGATAATGACCAGGCATTAAATAATTTCGTTCTCTTATTTCGTGAGCATCTCATGCTATGATAGATTGGTATGTATGAAGATTTTGACTGTTGAGGACTATTATCAAAATGCTAGTCCTTTTGCTTTGCTTTTGTCAAAGTTTTTCTGACTCATCCATCTAACATAAGTTGAAGACTTGAATGATAGCAAGGCAATTATTTTACTCTATCATATCTTAATTTTGAGTTACCTATTTTCGTTCAACATTTCTGACATTTTGTCATGGTGTATATACGAATATCTACTTAACAGTTAAACTGTGCCTTGTTGAACTTGGATGTTTGCCAGTCATTCCTTTTCTTCCTATATCCAGGATCTATCTGGTCGACCTCATTTGAGTTGCGGCTTAAGCATTCCTACCGAGAGAGTTGGCACATATGATACACAGGTAATTTGTAAAATTTTGACAGCTATTTTCAATTGTCTGCTATTTATGTCAGGCTTAAGAATGATTTCCATTGCCAAAATATGACTTATTCAGTTCAATTTTACTTTAGATTATCATTTCTGCTTTCTGTTTTGTTAAATTTGAACGTTCCTCCCCCAGAGATATTTCTAACAGATCTTTGCAATATCTCTTGGTCGTTTTTTGAGTTAGGGCGATCAGATCTTCTTACACTGTATGTCGCTACTATCAACTTAGGCAAACAATAATTTAATTATTTTATGACAGCTAGTTGAGCACTTTTTCCAGTCCCTTGTGAATACATCTGGCATGACGCTTCACATCCGTCAGGTATATGCTGCTTCGGTTTCAAAGAAATCCTCTTCCTAACCTTTGGGTCAATGACATGAATCAGTATAACTGTTTTCACCCTAGTTAAGTGAATAACATACATGACCCTGCACTCACTCTTTTTTTTTTCCCTTTACAAGCTTGCGGGGAACAACTCACACCATATTATCGAGGCAACTTTCAAAGCATTTGCCAGGGCGCTTCGGCAAGCAACGGAATATGACTTACGCCGGCGTGGCACTATCCCCAGGTTTGTGTCCTCACTACAAATATTGTTCGGGGAAATCTGTAGAGTGAATGGTAGCCATTTCATAGATGTTTCAGAAACTATTGCCTCCCACAAAATTCTGGGAAAAAAGAGAAAAGAAGCACCGAGCTGCTGTTGCTTCTCGGTGCCTAATATATTAGATGATAGAGCGGAACCAGAATGTAATGCGCCTTAATAACAATGTTTAGCCTGTAACGATTTTTCATGCATCGGTTTCCCTGAGTGTGTCTTGCTCTAACCAATCGCAGCTCAAAAGGTGTTCTGTCAAGGTCTTAGTGTTGCAATGCAAGATCAAAAACTGGATGCACGCTATTCGCCCTCGAAGAAACAGATGGGTGGTCGCCTGCTATGTCTCTGTCGCTACTTGGACTTGCAGTCCGCGGGGTTTGGAACAAGAACAGCATGGAAATTGCTTGCTATCCTGTTGTCATGGTTTGTTTATCTTGCTACCATTGGCATACTGTATCTGCTCGCAACTGCAGTTTTGCCGGACAGCGCGTACGTCTGAAGATGAAAAAGCTGCAAACGGCTTGACATTCTGAAAGTTATTACCTCTGATATATGGATTCATCATTGGTTTGTGCGGTGTTGCGCCTGTAATAATGGTTTGGCCATTCAAAAGAGTAAAATGAAATAGAATAATACTCTGTGTGCCGTTTGCACCTCCAGTCGATCAATCTTCATCTGGTGATGATGACTGCCTAGTCGATGGTACGGTACGCATGAGCTCGCCACGTGCCCCGTAGTGCCTGTTTGGTTCAGTCCGAGGTCCATCTTTGAGCTTGATTGGCCTCGAACTGTCAGCAAATAGGCTAGCTTTTCTTTTTTTAGGGCTGATTATAGTACTATATACTCCCTCCTTCCATCTATATAGGGCCTAATACATTTTTCGAGGCTAACTTTGACCAAATGTTAGAGCAATAATACATGACATGCAACTTACACAAAGCATACCACCAAATTCGTATGTGAAAGGAGCTTCCAATGATATAATTTTTACATTATGCATCTCATCTACTATTAGTCTTGTCAATAGTCAAAGGCGGTCTTGAAAAACGCATTAGGCCCTATATAGATGGAAGGAGGGAGTACTAGTATAGATGGGTAAAGAAAACTGGAAGGAAGTCAGGGCTGGGAACCCCTCGACCAAACGATTCGTTCCGTTGTGGGGACGCACAGCCCAAACGCCTCCAGGACGCCAGGCCTTTTCCCTGCAAAAATAAAAAAGGAACAAAAAGCCCGCTAATAATGAATTAAATGAAAAACCTAGATCTTGTTTTTTTCTCATAAATAAAAGCCCAGTTTTTGCTCAGCTATGAAAAAATGCCATCATCTTAGCAGAATAAAAAAAATGAAAATTCCAAAATAAATGTCATTGGAGTTTGACCAAACTATTTATAATTTGCCTTTTTTTAAATGGCAAGGTTTATAAAACATATTTGATTCCCTAATGAAAGCATGGCAAATCTGCCATGACAAAAATTCAATATTGCCATGGCAAAAAACATGTTTGGAAAAAATGACATGGCAGTTTTTTATGTGTATCCAACACCAAAAAATGCCACGGAAATTTTGAAAAACACAATGTATATGTGTCCGGCCCCAGTTTTGCCATGGCGAACTTCAGAAACACCATGGCACCAAAAAAATAATATGTGTGTCCATGAAAGTTGCACAAACAGAAATGGTTGATCAAGTTAGCACAAAAACCTATCCAAATCATGGCAAAAATGTTATGGGAGAAAAAAAAACTTTAGTGGATCACAAATTTGCATGGCAAAAAACATCGGTTGATGTTGTGTTGTTACAAACTTTTCCAGAATTGCCATGGCAACAATATTATGTTCAGAAAATGTCATGGCAAAAAGAAATAGAATATAATGAATAAAAATGAACATTACACAAACTATATTTACCCATCTATATTTAAGAAAAATTTGCCAGGACAATAAAAGATAATATTGCCATGGAATTTTAGTTAAATTGCCATGAAAATTTAATTAAAATTGCCGCATGTGAAAAAAACACAAAACATTGAAAATCAAGTATGAAAACAGTTGCCATGGCAGATTCATATCAAGAATAGCCGTGTTTTGTATGATGAATTTGCTATGTGTGAAAAAACAAAAAAAAGTTGAAAATCAAGTATGAACAAGAAAATTACCACGGCAGATTCATATCAAGAATTGCCATGTTTTGTATGGTGAATTTGCCGTGTGTGAAAAAAAAGTTGAGAAACAAGTTTTTACAAGAAAATTTTCATGCACTTTCGTATCAAAACTTGCCACGGTGAAATTCATGTAAACTAAATTTGCCATGATTTGAAAATCAAATTTGCCATGATCAATAAAATAAATTTGCCATGCTCAATAACTATTTTTTTAATGATCAACAAACTAGATTTGCCATGGTTAAGTATATAAGGAAAAAAGCATAAAGATTGTCATGGGAGTGTTGGGAAAAATGCCTAAATTTTCCATATTTGAATTAAAATGTTGTGAATTTGCCGTATGAATTTAGAAAAATATTTCTAAGTTTGCCATGGAAAAAATGCTTGACATGTGAACAATACAGGAAAATAATAATTAAAATTGCCATTTGACAAGTTTTAAACATTTTCATGTGAACATTACACATGTATTTTGCTATGGTCTAATTACTAAATTTTCCATGGTATAATAAAATTATTTTCCATGTTTGGAATATTGCCATAGTGCTAAGTTTGTGTGGCCACCTCTAAAATAGTTTACGTGTTAGAACATTTATACAATTTGCCATGGATGATTTGAAAGCAAAGTGCTATGAGTTTGCCATGTGCAAATATAAGAATTTGCAATGTGCAAAGGTAATAGTCTGCCATGTTATGAAAAATGCACATAAAAAATGAAATTAACCATGTCAACCTATATAAAAATGTAAATAAGAAAGATGGCAAATTTGCCATGGGGTGCAAACCTATTGCACCATTGTAACCATGGCAAATTTTTCATGTTCTACTCAAATAGCCATGTTCAACATTTGCCATGGTGCAAACGAAATAAAACTTCTTCTGAAGTGATGAAAGTAAAATTTGCCATGGATGTAAAGTTAATTTGCCATGGCAAGTAAAAAGTAATATTTCCATGAACAATAAAATTAAAGTTGCCATGTATATAGAAAAAGTAATTTTCCATGTATATAAAGGTAAAATTTCCAAGGAAAATAGATGACAGTTAATTTGGCATGGCACTTAAAAAGGCAAAATTTGCCATGGCAAAAGAAAGGGTAAGATTGCCATGGCAAAAAGGGGTAAAGTTTCCATGCTAAAAAAGGGTAAGATTGCCATGGCAAAAAAGGGTAAAATTGCCATGGCTATGAAGTAAAAATTTCCATGGAAAAAAGGGTAAACTTGCCATGGCTATAAAGTAAAAGTTGCCATGGCTATGAAACTAAATTTTCCACGCTAGTTTGTTTAGATTTTCCATCGAAAAGTAGGATCAAAAAAGGTTCTGGTTTGTAAGAAAAGTTGCCATGAGTGTACTATAACAAATGCCACCCTCGAGACAAATATGTTGTATGATCATGAGACCATGTTCTAATTGTATGAAAATGCCAGCATTTCAATCTAATGATTCCACCCGAATACTAAAAATGATGTTGCCATGCTACATGGTAAAATGGCCATGATATAGATCTATTTTTGACTTAAAATTGCAATGGACCTAATAAATAGAAAAAACATTTCAACAAATTGCACGTGTTCTGACAAGCTACATGGACTAGGCACTAAAGTTCATGACAATTCCACTACAAAAATGTCTTGATTGTAGAAAAAAATGATGATGCCATGCTACATGGCAAAAATGGCCATGATATAGATCTATTTTCGCCTTAAAATTTCCATGGATCTAAAATATAGAAAATTTTCAACAAATTCCATGTGCTGTGACAGCCTACATGCACTAGTTCATGGCAATTCCACTACAGAAATTGCCATGATCGCAAAAAAAAAACACACTGTCCACTACAATTTCATAGCAAAAGAATCCACTGCACATAATTGCCATGGTTGTAAATAAGAAACACTGTCAACTACATTTTCAGCTGAAATGAAGATCGTCCTAGGGGAGAAATCGAGCAGAAAAATCTCAACAATGTCTATGATGATATCTAGTCGACGGCTGCCGCACATGTTCCGGCTTAGGTCCCAGTCCCTGTTCCCTTGTTTCACCCCCACGGCACAAC